GTGGTGCGTGTATGGGTGTATGATGCTTTGTTGTGTTTTGCTGCATCTTGGCTATGGCAAGTTTGGACCCACAGTTCAAGTAGCAATCGAGCAACCATGCCTGCACTGCACCATGTCAGCTAGAAACTCGCTAAGTGCGTGTTTGTTGAGCCGTATCTGGCCAGCTTGCATGTTAGCTGCTAAGCTAAACCCAAACTCCATTTTGTGAAGCTGAACTGCGAGCCAATATCCAACTTCAGATGGACACAGCATCCTGACCTATCCTGTAAAGTAAGCCTTCCCGTCAAAGCCAAAGCCTTCAGCCATGGGCCTAGCAAATGGATGCAGCCTCTTGTTGCTTTTTCGGGCAGGAGCAATTGTGAGCGCTTGGCCCAGGCAATGCTCGGCCAAGCAGGAGCACCAAGGGTGGGGAAAGGCCCACAGGTGCGCTCCAACATTGGGGCCGGGCAGCTGGGCGTCTCCTAGCTTTGGCAAGGGCCACCTTTCACCTCGCAATGCATGCCGTTGGATTAGCTGACGATTTGAGATGAGGAGTCCGATGTTTTTGTTTTCTTCTTTTTGTTTCCGGTTTTGTTCATCACAAACACATCCTGTGCCCTGTGAAGAGCTTCTGCTTAGGTGGGGGCACGTGTCCTTCTGCGGACGCCTGGATGTGTTTTTGTTGCTGCATGCCTCTTTGCCTTTTTGCCTTGCAAAGAGGCTCTCTGGAAAGGTGGTACTGCAACTCTCGATTTGCTTTGCTTTGTGCGGCATGGCAATTGGTTGGATCATCATTTCACTGGGTAGCGAGTGCGAATCAGTGTTGCTCAAGGACTTCCACTACAACTCGAAGAGAATAACCATCCACTGCTGACGTTGCATGCCAGCTTTGGGACTGAGCTGAACCAGGAAAGCAATCCTTTACAGGTTGCCATGGTTTCTTCGGGCCTTTGGGGTTCGGCTTAGCCTTGTGTTCAAGGTCATGTTTTAGGAATGGAACGGTTCAACAGCCACTGTGCTAGTCTGGCACTCGCAAGCTTGGCTCTAGTGGCTTCCGCAGCCAGGTGCATTGCAGCTGCGGGGAAGTCTTCACCGAGGAGGGGATTTGGGAGTGCTTCGTAGGCGTGTGGGGTGAGAGGGACAACCGCCACAAACATGACCCCCCCCCCCACCCACACACACACACACACCCACACATACGTCTTGAAAAGGGCAAATTGTTAGAGTCCGGAACAGATGTGCTTGGGTACCTTCAAGCTTAAGTTGCTTAAGTTTGCTTAACCGTGAAGTTACTGTGGATGGCTGACCTGCAGACCCCCCAAAAAGTTTCAGGGAACCCAATTTCAGTAGAGGAAACCGCTAAACCAATTCATGTGCGGCTCCTCAAGCACTCTCAAACAGAGTATTGTTTAGTATCGGTTTACAATAGCTGAACATTGTGTAGCGCGTGCTGAGTACCCTTTTCTTTTAGGGGGAGCGAATATTTGTTGGTTCTCGTTCTGGTACCCTTTGACAAATGAGGTGTCCGCATTCATTGCCAGGGCTGCAATTGCATGCAATTGCTGCATTGCCAGTATGGGTTTCGACTTTGAGCGCTTTGCTCTGCTCCATTTCCAGCAGCACCGGTGTTTCATTTGCAAGGATGCTGCCTTCTGCAAGAAGTGCGGTGAGAAACGGCCGCAGGCACGGCTTAGACACACTCCGATGGTTGCAAAGCTATCTATGAGATTTGTGCGTCATGCCCTTCCACCCACTTGAGCTTGAAACGCATTGTGTTGCTATTTTCTATGTTCTCAGAAATGTATTGATTCCTTGGCAAGTTCCAGCTACAGAATTGTTGATGGTTCTGCAAACAAATGTAAACATACTGGCATGAAAGCGATTGAGGCAACCCTTTGACTCAACGCTTGCTGGCATTGTCTAGTGCTACTGGCACTATTTTTAGGGCGTATAAGGTTGTGCGGCCGAAGTTTGACTTCAGATGCCTGTCGATTAAAGAAGTGCCTGTAAAGACACCACTGGAGGTGTTGGGCGAAATTCGGGGCACCAGCGGCAGAAGCATACTCGCTGAAGCGAGGTGCATGTATGGTTTGGTTTGATTGGGACGGAAGATGCCAACTGGGTGGTTTGCCAATTGAATGCATTGGCTCCAGCTACTGTAGCAACTGGGATGCTGCTGAACCCCGCGCGGCATGCGTTGATATGAATGCTGGCTGTTTGCTCTTCTGGGAGTATTGTCAATTGGCTTTGTGTCGAAGTAAAGATTCACTGCAGACGGTTGGTGATTCTTGTTTCCTTGCTGGCTCCTTCACTTGTTCTGGCTGCCAGTCACCAGCTGACCTTTTGGCGTGCGTGTCTTGGCCGTGCCGCCATCGAACCAACTTCGATTCAGGATCTTCCTTGGTTGAATGGGCCCGCCCCTAGCGACGCTTGGTGTTGGGAGGCAGCCCCAAGAGGCCGCAAGGCCCGGTCTGTGTCACCGGCCGGGGTCCTGAGTGCACCGGAAGTCAGCATGTGGGTCTTGGATGGATGGGATTGGGTGTGCATGTTACCCAAGGCGAATCTCGAGTTAGATTCCCTCGCCCAACCATTGATCATGACACATGACGGCTCGCTTTTCGGTTGGATGCTGTCAAGTTTGGATGAGATGGGTTGGGTGGCTTCAACATCGGCTGGGCCTGGAAAGAGAGCTGCTCAATTTCTGCGCGCAAGGCACAGCGGCCTTCCGCCACCCAGTCGTGCTGTTTTCAGCTGGTTGAAGTGATGCCAACTACGCTCACAGTTCCAGCTAGTCTCCGGCCAACATCCATTAAGCCCAAGATGACATGTGTAGAAGCAACAAAAGCACTTGGCAACCTGTGGAGTGCTGGGCTTTGACTTGCTTGCAGCCTGGTCTTGTTGAAGCCAGTCTCGGCTCAAGTAGCGGCTTGCCACCAGGCAGCTTATGTGCATTGTTGCGGGAAACATGGGCAAGCCTAGTTTCGGTTGTGGCAAGCTAGCCACCGTCCTCCACACATTCCATTCGCTTTTCCCTCAATCAATAAAGCGGTTGTTGTAAAGGTGGAACCTTGAGGCTTGTCCAGCAAGGCAAGCCTGCTTATTTGAGTTTTGTCGGTTTGACTTGGCCTCTAGGGAGTCCAAACGAAAAGGGCGTTTGTTGCACGCGCTGTCCCTTCAGCCATCCGTTTGCCCCCAGGTCGCCAGCGGGCATCCTGGGGCTTTGAGTACTGCTGCGGCAACAGCACGCCCAGGCCAAGGGTTCCTTAGAACCCATCCCCCGACTTTTTGGAGACCCTTTAGGCGGGGTTCAAGACTGGAATCAATATGTGGCGCATCCATGCTGAGCCCCATTTCTACCTTCATGGCGCTTTACGGATCATCCTCAACACACTGGTACGCATGGCACGATGATTTTTTTAGCGCCTGATCAGAGTCATTCGAAAGATGTTCTAACTACGTGTTGGTGGCCTGGTTTCGTTGCAATCAGGCTGTCCGGGCAGCTGCCCTGATTAAATTTATGCCAAACAAATGTGTGTGTGTGGTGTGTGTGTGTGTGTGCGTGCTTTTTTGAGGGCACCCTGTTCACCTTGATTTGTCAGACCACAAGGACCACCATTTTGGGTCCCCGCGCGTTGTTGACTTGCCACCAGCCGCAACATGGTCAAATCGCTCATATTTTCTGAGTGTGGTAAACGCTGCAGCGCGACGGCTGCGATCGAACATAATAGGGGATTGCAGCAGAACTTCATCTGCTTTCGTTTGACAAGGACATGTCCGCTTTGTTGCCTGGTAGGATGCAGCACCAGAAGGTTGGTGCAAGCTGCGCTCGATTTGGCATTTGCTGAGGCTTCCACTTGGGGTTAGTACTGCAAGGGGCTCGATAATTACACGCATTTTGCTTGCGTGATCATGACGCGAAGTACCTCACAACCCCACACTGATTGTTGAGGCCCTTTTGGATACTAGACTTATCGCCACGAGGGTTTGTACGCCCTCGCGTTGATCCAACTCCACCAGCCCTGCATGCGAAGGCACCAGTGACAGCCAAACTCAGCTGCTCAAGGCGCGGATGGTTCTCGTGGCTAGGACTGCAAGCCATCCCGTTTCCTCACGGTGCGAGCGATTCCGTGATGCGGCCATTGCTCACTGGTAACCAGACCCAATGATTTTGCTGGTGGTTGTCACAAGCTCCGTGACAACTTGCCGCTGATGTCTTTGCCCGGTTCTTTGTTTTTTGTTGTTACGCGGAGTGAACAGCTTCAACTTTCAGCGTGGAGCGGGAAAGCCACAGCATAGCTCCTAACTTGACGAGCCCGAAGACTCCGGCATCTTGACTAGTTATCATAGTAACAAGTACCTCGAGAGTGAGCAACCATTAGTTAGCACATCCCCATATTGTGGCCCCGTTTCCTGGGAAATATCCGCATAGCTAGCTGTACCTGGTTGCTTATGCTGACTGACTGTTACTCTCCAGGCTTGCCAGCTTTCCTTTTCCGCGGGAATCCAAATGGATATGGGTCAAAAAAACAAGCAGGGAACCGCACGTTTTAGTCATTGCTTCTATTTACCAGGGTTCCGTTTGGGGTACCGTTTCTTGACCCGCAGCCAAATGCCCATAGTTCAAAACCAATGGTACCATTTTGGAATAGGTGTCCATTTTAGTGGGGATTGGGATGTTCACTGGGGGTCCGTGGTGTTGACCCACCGCCAAATCATGTTTCAGGCGCTGCTGGCCGGGCCCATGCCGCAGCTCTCGCGCTTGGAGCTTTTGTTTCCAGCAGACTTTGCCGGGACCCACGGAGCAGAGCAGCTGGGTTAGCCGTGAGCCGGCGGAAGGACGTCCCAGCGAGTTATTAGCAACAGGTAACGAGGGGAAACCGTCACAAGAAACCAACTGGCTACTGCAACTGGAGAAAAATGAGTGGCGGATAGTCGTTCCCTTGCATTGTGGTTGCCCGTTGCTGATAAATTAATGCTCGTAGCCTTGTAGCATGAAAAGCGTCGTGACCACCCCCACTCAAGCATCAGGACACCGACAATGACACATGAGGCCCTCGACCAGTGCACCGGGGGCTTGGCAAAGGATGTTACCGCTTGTCAAGCCAAGGCAATCTCATTGTATTTACCAGGAGAGCAGACCGGGCACACGATTTCCGATCTGGGATTTTGATGTCAAGTTCTACAATCCAGGGATTTGCGGTAAAAACATGTGTGTTTCTGACATGAGGAATCCCCTTTGAAGCTCGTATTTGACATAACCCAGTCCTACCCCCAAGCTGACTGCACCAGCGAGGCGCCGCTTCGTTGCACCGTTGCCCGTTGTTTCTGCTTTACCGAAGCCTTGCTACTGACGGTGTTGTCCATGAACTGGGTTTCCAGTTCCTCACTTGCCGCAGTATTCAATCAAGTTGTCCTGGCCTATGTTTTTGCAAGGCTTTGGGTTCCGGGGTGGCTTTTGAATTGCATGCAAAAGACATACCAAAGGCTCGATGCCCAGATTCTCAGATTACAATGTTGCGTGACGACCAATCTGCCAAGCAACCAACCAACCTGAACTATGTTGTCAAGCTTTAAGCGCCCAAGCATGCGCTCAAATATATAGAATCTGTTTATGCCTATGGCCTATCAATGTGCAACTTGTGCCAGGTCAGGGGAATCAAGCAGCAGGCGCTGTGGCATTATGCAGAAAAACATGTAAATGATACACCTTTCAGCGAGAGGGAACGTCTGAAAATATCCCACCCACCAGGATACATCACTTGATATGTTTGACACGGTCTTTCTAAATGCCACCCAGGCCAGAAGCAAGACACACAGAAAGTTGACCCCGACTCCAGCCAGCTTGGCCTAGGTTAGGCTCTGCTTGGAGTCCGGCAGCCACTTGCAGACGGCAGCATGGCGGTCAAGAGATGTGTTGCCAGACGTTTTTGCTGGGTATTCCCGGTACACGTCAAGTACCAAAACAAAGCTGTCCCTTGTTTCTCATTCACAGTAGATGTCATTTTCATGAAGATATTTGGATTCCACCAAAACTGACGCAAGCTAGCCAGCAACATCCAAACCTTTTGAACCGTTCTGCTCCCCACGGTTCTCACCAGCACATGTCGAAACAGTCGACCTTTGCGTCCCACCCTACTTCCGAGTACTGTGAACAAATGGGCCATTAACATTGGCGCTAACACCCGCCATTTAATGTCTTCCAGGTTCCTCACACAGATGCTGCATCAGTGGGAGGAAAGCAAGTTGCACTGGAGGAAACTACATAGTGATGAATAACGAGGTGAATCCTGGTGCTTGCTATTTCAATCTCCAAGAACTGTGAAGATATCCTCAGCTCAGATTCTTCTGCAATCGAGATGGATGCTTTGGGGCTCCATGATCTGTCGGGGGGGGGGGCTTTTTCAGCCAATTAACATTGGGTGTGTTCCCAGTTTGCCCGCAGGGTCCCACGACGAAATGGTCAACTTCGTGTTTTGGAGTTGACAATTTGGAGTTGACCATTCTTGCTCGGGGGAATCGCGCGATTGAAGTTCCCCATGTTTGTTGTGAGTGCTTCCCCTTCGGTTGGTGTCAACGTGACATGTGGGGTAAGTACATGAAACAGATCCATCATCTGAGTGAATCATCCCCTCCTACCTGCATGAAGAAAAACACGTGGCATCTGCTTTCACTTGGCGTAAGCGGAGTCCGTTTGCCTGGGCTGGCGGAGGTCACCCTCCGCAGCGGCAGCCACGTGGAGCTGTCCCCGCCGGGCCCAGAGTCCATGAGCCGGGGCTCTCGGCGATGCGGTAGAAAAAAAACAACTGAAATGGACAGGAGGAGGGTCTGTTTGTTCGTTTTCAGGGAAAATGTTGCAGTTGTTTTTTTTTGTTTGATGCGAATTGGAGGGGTCGAGTTGTTTTTTTTGGTTCTTCTTTTTCAAGGAGGATGTTGCAGTTGTTTTTGTTGATGCGAGTTGTACATCATATCCTAAGGTAGGCGAAATACGAAGCTGAGTTTGGAATATTAGTTCGGTGTACCCGCGCGATCGGGCTAGGCCAAGTTTGATTCAGATGGCCGTTTGCCGGAGGGAAATCAAGCGCTCTCTATCCTCCAAAAGTTGCAGCTTCATTGGAAAGCGCCGGTAACTGGAAGTGTTTGACACCATCCCTACCCCTGCCTATACCAGCGCACAACCAATCCAATCCCCACCCTGCCTGAGCTCCTGAACAGCCACAGCCCGGCTCTGAAGCTTCTTTGAGCAACTGGGACAAGTCTAAAAGTTCGAACTGGAGCTCCAGGTATTGCATGTAGCTTTGCGTTTTGTCCATAGCACCTTTTTTTTTTTTGTGCCAGGGCTCAAAACAAGGACACCTTCTGTTTGGAAAAAGGCGCCTGAGTTGGTGGAGCAAACGCCTGTGTTGGTCCCGGTTTCCTGGAACCTTTTTGAAATTCACCAAAACCGACTGTACCCTTTGGGCCCTGCCCCTTACAAAAGGGAGAATGATCGGATTCCTGTACCAGCGTTTTGATGTCAACGAGACTGGAGGTTTCCTTAATGGAGCGATGTGTTTGGGGAGCTAGAGGTAGAACTTGCCTCCCGTCCGGCGCTTGCCTTTCACAGTGCATGGCAGTAGAGGAGTGGGTGTGCTCCATGATGCCCATGCTCATTCCGACTTTGGCCTGTGTTCCTTCTTGCTCTTCATCCCTTTCTTGTTTTATACCACGCTCTGCTTGCATGACCCGCGCGTCGCCGCCCGTGAAGTGCTAACTCCCTTGATCAGGTTTCCCAGACGGAGTGTTGCACATCATGTTGCTGGATGGGACTCCCTGGCGAAACCTTTGATCTCAATACTTTCTTGAAGGGCCCCCTGTTGATTGGAACCCCTCATGTCTTATTGGCTTATTTCTGGTACTGTCATCTTGGTTTCCTTTGGATCATGGGCTCTATGGCACCTGTTTAGACTCTTTTGTTTGTGGTTAACCTTTGAACACCATCCGCTTTTTGGTGACAACCGGTCTCTGCATTTGTGAGCACCATGCTCGCCGCCCAGCTGCCCGACGCATGCTTTTTCTGGAACAGGAATGGTGACCGTGAACGGCACGATGCTGGGGAACACGATGGCAGCGCCATGTCTACAGCATGGCAGAAAGGTTCTGTTGCTTCACCTGCGCCACAAGATTAGCCGAGCTTTTTCAAGGGTCAAAGTCAGAAACTGCGGTTGATTGCCTTGCACTGCTTGGGGGTGACTCGTCAGTGGACAAATGCTTGTAGGTGGGTGTCGAAGCATTGCCATTGCAGAAATACTTTTTTCACTAGGTTGCGAAGGTTGGCAGTCTCTCGGAAGGTCGTTGTCGTGTCGGCAAGCCCAAGCCTACCTTCCTTGCAAGGCGGCATCTATATTGTTGCATGTCTTGAGTAAGGTATTTGGTCACAGTATATGAGGCGGGCGAATTGGAATCTGTCAGATGAATTCTCGTAGGCATGTGAGACCGAAGGGGCGACCTCACTTCCTCGTACATCGCTTGTGAATTCCCTGGGTTGCTGTAATTCTGGCCCTGTGAAGAACACAATTCCCTTTTACATAGGTGGGGTTAGGCTCCGTGATGCTCCATGTTAGAGTTGCTGGTGTGCGTTCGATAGTGTCGAGCTGTATCCGGTGGGTTGCTTGGCTGCCTGCAAAGTACTGGGCCCTGACCCTAACCGCATAAGCATAGCCCCGCTAGCACACAAGCTGTTTGTTTCTGGTGTTATCACATTGATGTGATTGGCATTGGCATTGTAGTTCACCAGGGCCCTTGCCCGAGCAGTTCCAAGATGCGGACTAGGGGTGTTGTGGCTGCGGCTTGCCAAGGTGCTCCAGTTGCAAGAACTACTACTTCAGCAGCTTGGCCGGGCACTTTATTCGGGGGCCACCACCTCCTGCCCACGAACACCTCGCCCCATGTATATAAAGGGTGTTTTGTGTTGCTTGCTCGGTTGCTCGTCCGTCGAAAGACGATGGAAGCACCACAGCACCACAGGTTGAGATGGACATCATCATTGGTGGGGCAGCGCTGTCCGATATGTGCGTATGTCCCTGCATCGTACAACTCGTACAACAGCCTCGGATGGACCTCTAGTACTTGCTCCATGTGTACTCAGTATCCAGGCCAAGCCCAACAAAAACTCAAGAGTCGTCATGCGTTTGCCTTTAGGGGGCATACCTGCTGACCCTATACACTCGCAACCCGGTCTATGGATGAAATTCTATCGAGAACTGGCAGAAACCGACTTAGCACAGAACAGCGCCACAGTACTGGCGCTGGCCATGCAGCTTTCACAGGAATACCGGTCTGCCCTTTGTAAGCAGCGGTTTGGAAGCCGATAGCGCGGGGATCCCAAGTCTTAAGGTCCAGCGGTGGGTTCCATCGCAGGGCACCGAAAAGCGTTGTCCTTAGCTGTTTGGCTATGCTTACCTCTTAAAAACACAACTTTTCAACTTTTTGGGGGTAACATGGGCTATATGTCTGTAAAAGATTAACTTCCCCAGGGCTTGGAGTTTTAAGGGGTAAGTATGGGCTGAGGTATTTTTTGGCCGCGGCTTACTTTTTCGCAGGACCGGCGAACGGCTGGCTGTGGCTGGCTGTCTGGCTGGTTGGCTGGCTGCCCTAGGCTATCCAGAGTTGGCGACACATGCAAGTCGCCCGAGGCCATGCCTTTTTTCCGGGCTTTGCTGCGAAGGTATCAGAGATGACTGAGCTCAAAGAGCAGAGTCTAGCGAAGAAAACTGGCGAGCCGCACCGGGTGCCCCTGGGCTGCCGATCGGGACTTGCAGGATCTGCGCAGGACGCAAACCCCAGGTCGCGACATGTTTGTTGGATGGGATTGAATCGAGCTGGTCTAATAAACGTACGTGATGCATATACATATATTCTTATTTTTTTAAAATATGTGTGTGTGTGTGCGCGTATGTATGTACACACTAACATGTGTATGTATATGTGTATAGATATTTATAGTATATTACAGGTAAGATCATGACTGTTGATTAGATGGCTTTGCGCAATCGTGCGGATGCAAGGATGCAGGCTACACAGGTTGCTAGAAACTGAAATGAGGCACATGATAAAGGGCCACACTCAAGTCATCGAGCCATACGCACCCAACATTTCCAGGCATAAGTAATTAGTTCGTTGCCTTTTTGTCTTTTTGGGGTTCCTTCCTTTGTCTTTTCTCACATTTTGCAGGGTCGCTGGGCAACTCGACCGCTCACCGCTCGGTTCTCGCCTAGCTCGTGGCTCAATCCCCAAAGGGGAGGCGGCCTTTGAACCGAGTCGACATGGCACTAACCCAACAATTCTCGAGCCAGGGAAGGACCTCAATCGGCTTTGTAGCCTGTTTGGCTGATTGGGCAAAGGAAGCGGCTGGGAGCACGCAAATTCTCATATTCCAGCCCCTTGGGGACTTTGTGCCTGCACGCGGTGGGATGCCCTCGACCCCGCATGAACTCTCGTTGGGAAAAGCTCTGCTTGGAGTTTCCTAGGCATGACCCCCCACCCCTCAAACTCTGGTCCTGATTTGCCCACAGCACTTGACTGATTTGCTTTGTCTACTTCTCAGCTGTGTTTTTTTTTGCACTAGGGTCCAACCGACCATCGATTTCCTGACCTGCCAAAACGGTGGTGCAAAGTTGTCCCTATGGCGGACTGACCCGAGCGCATGGAATGGCTAGTTCCGCAGGCCTTACGGGGGCGGCCCTCGCCGTTTTGGTGTTGCTCAGGGCCCAGGGCAGAATTTCGCCGAGCATCATATGCAAAGGCTGCATTTGTCTTTGGCGAATCATGGCTGCAAGAGGACGCCAACCAGGATGGCATGCCAACGTCCCAAACCGTCGAAAGTTACCCACCTGCAGAATCAGATATGCTGGTGTGTGTGTGTGTGTGCTGCATTGGGCTTGAATGAACTAGGCAGTTGCTTCCCGAATTATTGCCTCTCGCCTTCCCCATGTTGAACCCCGACAGCAAAACGCGCTTTTGCCAGGCTTGGACCGCGCCCAGGGCAGTCCCGGACTCGCAGGCGCCGCTGAACCTTCGGCCTTTGCATGTGTAATTAGCACCATTAACAAGTAGACCAACCCCTGAATTTGTTGCCAACCCGCAACTTCATTGCACAAAAGCACCCAGTGTCGGTTTTTTGGAGGTGTGCCGGGCTTGGAGCAACATGACAACCAGCTGAAACCGTTAGTAATGCAGTCCTGTTGGGCATCGCAGGGAGCACTGGCTGCCAAGCTGGGCTGCTTCCCTACAACATGCAATCCCCCGACCTTTTCAACCGCCGCCATAGCACCAGCTGCTGTAAAGTTTTCTTGGGGATCAGCTTCGCGGATGTTTCAAAGTTCCAGCCCACGTTTAGGGCTCACAGCGGAGCCACAACACAAATTGTCCCTTCGAATGGTAGTGGGTTGGAAGATGTTGGAGGGCATCGACTGGAACTGAGTTCAAACATCTAGTGGCTGGTTCGCATGCTGTCCTGTCTCAGAGCTTTGGAGTTCCTCATTGCGACAAGCACACAATTGTGTCTTAAGATGCTGGGGGGGCATTAGAGTTTGTTTTCGTGGAACACGGAGAAGTGAAGGCTAGAATCTCCAGATCGAGGGCCCTGCCAGCTTGACCGGTTTAGTTGGAAATCCTGTCCACTTATTGTGACTTATATAATGACTTTGACTGGTGCTGATCATCCAGAGGAAATGTTCATCATCATGTTGCTGTGAACTTGCAGATGGACAGTGCGAGTTCGAGGTATGCAGCAACAGAACATGCTCATCATAGCTTGAGCACTTGAGCAGACGATCCTCTCATGTCCAAATCCAATTTTGCCACCTGTCAGCCTGTCAGCGTCAAATGTTCAGAAGCTGTCAATATCAAGGTATTCGGTTTCAAAACGTTCACCTTTCACATCCAGGTTGGTCCACAGAGGAAGCATGTCTTCTGAATGCTTGGGAAAGTCACTTAGAAAAACATGTGCAGTCCATCGTCTTCTTTGGTTGCTTCTTGCGGTGTCCCCAGAACCAGTAGCATGATGCCGGGACTCTAAAAATATGTACACAAAAATGCATCAAGGGTGGCTCCATTTCAGCCAGAGATTGCATCCTAGTAGACATTGGAGCCTCCTTACCCCCCCCCAGAACGGTTCTCAGAACCCTTCTGAGAACCCTTTCTCAGCAGGTGCAGCGGGGGGTCTTTTGGTTTCTCCCTGTAAGGTTTAAAGCTGGCATGATCCAGCACGACAAGACTTCAGCTGGAATTGCGTAAGTTGTGCATTTCCCACTTTCGTTCACCTGGGCAACGCAGCTCAGCGCATCCACTCAATATCATACCCAGTGGTTCTGGTTCAATTCTGTGTTGCCTTTGCGCTTCTCAACACCTACTCGTACTGATGGCTTAAAAAGAAGGACTAGGCAAGGGCAGGGTTGGGCCAGCACGTTATTTACTGTTTATAATTTATAATGCTAAAACAAGCTATTTATTGAATGGCCTACTTGTGGTATCCCCTGAACGCGGGGCAGGGTATGTCTTGTGACCCTGTTTTGCTCACAGACGAAATAAGACGCTGTTTTTTTTTTTTCGGCTTTTTCGGGATCTCAGGCCGCCGTGGCCTCGAGCGATGCGAGCGACCCGTCGGCAGATGGCGACTCGTGTCGGTTCGCATCGAAAAAATGGTGGCGCCGGCTGGCAGACGGCGCCCAAAAATAGCCATGCAAGCCACCGAAGTTCATGACTGAATGTGGTTGCTGCAAGCCTGAACTCAGCTTCCCCCCCAAAACAATGGTTTGGATTGGTGGTTTGAGATTTGCACCCCAGCCCCTTTACAAACCAAATGGAAAGGTAGTCCCTAAGAATCCAAACCACCAAACCAAACCACCAATTGGGGGGCAGCTGATGAAAGATGCTAAGTAAGGATATTCGATCCTTTGTTCCGTCGCCTATTTGTGGTGCGGCTACGTTCTACACACATGTTGTGCAACTATTCAACGTTGGACCAGCAGCTGCCCTGGTTCAGTTCTTCAAAGGCTGAATTGCCGCCAGGATTGAAAGGCTGAGGATGATTGTTTCAAATTTCTGGGGTCCGGAGCCATTTGCTACCGGTTGGTAGGGTTATGAAGGGTTCTTGTTTTTTATCTGCCAGTATATATGAGCGACATTTGCTCCGTAGTGGAGGGAAGGCTTGAGATTTGTTCTGACTCTTTGCGGTTTTGTAGGGCCTTGGTTCGAGAGTGATGATCCGGGGCTTTGCCATCCAGGGGTCGTGGTTACCCACATGTTCGAAACCACACGGGTCCAAGGAGTGTGTTGGTGCTCATTTGTCAAATGGACGCGATAAAAGTGGCAACCATACATGATACCCCGGTGAGTTCAGTGAGCCAGTTGCCTGCGCGTTGTAGCTTGGAGACACAGGCTTAGGTTGGAAAAGAGGCCTTCCAGCCGGCGCATGGCTACACCCTCCTACCCTCCCCGTGCTTAAACTGGAAGCTGCCATGAGCAGTTGATTTTGTGCCATAAACATATAGCTGGCCGCCAGAGCAGCACTGCGGTAAGTGTCGAAAAGTTGGGCGAGCTTGTGGAAATCGACATTGCGTTTCAGCAACCGCTGATCACGCAATGCATCCACTCATTCAGCATGCTATCTTGGTTTGCGGTGCGAATGGGACCGTGTTATTTTGAGGGTTGCAGAAAGAGACGCCAGTCGAGACTTGTCCAGGAGTGACCAGCAGTGGTCATTGCCATCTTCATAGAAGCTACCGCTCGTTTGATTCCCTTATATTCCCTTAAAACCATGCTTGGTCGAAGTCCTGGGATGCCGATGGGGAGGACGAGAAAGAAAGACAGACAGAGGGCGAGAGAGAAAGACTTAAAGAGAGAGAGTGTAGAAAGCCATTCCACGTACGACATTGACATGAACTTACCGCACATTCCTTCCACTGGTTGTTGCTGTCGGGTGTTGGCCTGCATCTTTGGGTCAGTTTTGCAAAGTGAGTTCAGCTGCGGGGGCTAGGTTGCATCCTGCGTGGGAAGCAAAAGAACCTCTCAACCAGTGGGACATGGATCGGTTCAGTATATTTTGGATTGGTCTTTCTCAATCAAGTATTCTATAGGTTGATTCCCCATTCTTTTCAGCCATCGTTCTTTTCAAAAACCAGCCATTTCCCCAGGGTTTGAGTGGTTTTCTGGAAAGAAGGATCCCTGGAAATAATGGGGAAGTTACCCCTAAAAGTATGGGGTCCATGTTTTTGACGAGGCCTCACCCAGGTTCCCTGATGGTTTTTGCAGGAAGCGTATTTGTGGTCAGTTAGGTTGAACAAAGACGGCTCTGGTTGCAGTTTGCTTCTCAACATGTGCCAGTCTTCTTCCGAAAGGATGCCTGGATCAGGTAACCCGTAGTTTTTGGGGTTTGGATTGGTGGTTTGTGGCTTTCAACCCCTGGTTCTTGTAAAGGGCAAATGGCACACCATGCCGGGGAACACCTCCAAACCTCCAATCCAAACCATCAAGAATGAAGTTGAGTCGGGGTTCTTCTAGTTTCCATGTTCCTTTTTGGAACCTCCGAGAGTGGCAGTTGTTTAATCGACATTAGCAGTACCTTTTCTCCAACCAACATGGCACCTGTAGGGAGGTACCTGGAAGATGAACTTCCTTTTGAAGGGACCCCCTGTCAGTTGGCATGTTAGTGGGAAGGAGGGTAAGTTGCAACGTGGGA